GAGAGAGAGAGAGAGTTGGGGCCCTGAGAGAAAAAAGTTTGCTTTTAGATCTTCATGTTATTCATGAAGCAGGATTTTTTTTTATTTGACATATTCAGATGGTAAGTCACTTTTGGCATATCAATAATTTTGGGAAGAAACAAGCTGCCAAAACAGCTTTCTCCATCAGATAACCTGAGTATGTAAAACCTGAGTTTGCATAGTCCAGGATCCAAACGACCTATTAAAGATCAAGGCAGACAAGGCTTGGGTTCTTGGGTCCAAGTTAGACTAAAGCCTCATGTACATTTATTTTTAGGTAAACAGGATGTTATTTTTCTAGCAGTGATCTTACATTTTCATGTATTTTCAAGACTAGACCAATTCCTTCTATACTATGTAGTGTTATATTGCCATACATGTTTGTATATGTATATATGAAAATGTGATCTTACATTTTCAGGCATGCATGCGGGTCGTCCGAAGTTTGTCCCTGTCAACTTGAAAGACATTGAAGCTGCAGGTTTCAAAGAAGGGGATGAAGTTTCATTGGAGTCTTTGAAGACAAAGGGCTTGATTAATCCCTCTGGTAGGGAAAGAAGACTTCCTTTGAAGGTATTTGGTTTCCAGATGGCTTTCCCTTCTCTCAAATATGTGATTATGACAACAGTTGTTCCTCTTGTATTGAATTTTACTTGCATAGCTTCTAGTTCACGTTTGAGTATTTTTCACCTACAAAATGAGATGATATGTTTTCTGCTTTGTTTTGAGAAATATTATTACTTAGTAGAGCCTAGGCTTGATCGGTTTTTTCCCTTAGTGTTGGCAATGGAATTTGTCTAGTACTAATTGTGTTTATTCCAGTATCTGATTGTGATGTTTAACTTTAGACTGTGGGAAAAAGTTTTGGTCCTCCTTTACAAGGACTGTAATATTATCCTCTTATCTCATTTTCTGGCTATTTTGACCTGAACTTGTGGAGATCATCACCAAATCCGTCAAGCTATTAACGGAAACACATGTGCCATAACTCAGGCGATCATTTGATGAAACATCATTTTAATATTTTTCTAATTTTACTCATCAATCTCCACCTGCCAGATGAATAGTCAGTGGAGATGGGACTGGAGGATACTATTGCGGTCCTCCTGTAGGAGGGCCAAAAGTTTTCCCTAATTTAAAACTTTGTTATTCTATGACTTGTCCTTACTCTCTGATTTATTTTCTACTTCTTAATCCAAGTGCAAGACAATCTTTTTTTCCCCCCTTACATAAATGCGAGGAAAAGTCAATGTCTGTTTTGAAGAACTATCTTCTTAGTGGAGGCTTACAAGCATCTGCTAGTCCCACATTAATGTGTGTCTCTGTCTCTGCCATGATCTAATTGAATAAGTGACTTTCATGCTAAATGTTGACTGCATTCTGTATGATAGCTATAATGAAGTAGCTGCTGAATAGGATTGAACTCATTCGGATGAGGCTTTAGCTCTTGGCTGTGTGTAGTTGATTTTCATAAAGAAAACTCATAATTAACCTACCTAAAGGTACGGTTTTCTAAATCGGAAAAGGAAAGTTTTATACTGGCACTAGGATCTGTTTTGTTTGTTTATGAATCAAGCATCTGCCAGAGTTCTTTTGGAAGAAAATCCCAAGCCTCACAGACTTGAGTGCCTAGCACTGCATAACTGTGTACGATGTATTCTTGCAATGAAATATAAACTCATCCCCATGCTTCTTAATATGAGTTGATCTATGGTCATGGCCTTCTAAATTCCTTTCTGATAGACATTTCAGGACTGCAATCAGTCCATCTGTGTTCTATCATTGCATGTCAATTTTTCCATTTTGGCCATGCAGATTGTGTGACAAGGAGAATTGGTACGCTTCTCATTTGAAATTGTAATGACAGTGTGTGTGTGTGTGTGTGAGAGAGAGAGAGAGAGAGAGAGAGAGAGAGAGACTGTTAGTTTTTCGGTTTTTTGGGGAGAGTAGGTTGTGTGTGTGTGTGT